TCACTCAAAACGAAACTACTCTGCGTGCTGTGCGCACGTGAGACTGTTACTTAAAACTGCTTTATGCTGGACAGTATTTATTTATCGCGAGTTGTTCAAATCGCGGTAATCTAACACGGTTCTAATGATAATTAAAAGATGAAACGGTAGTACTAACCGTGGGGAATGTTATCATGATTTATCGTCAAACCAGTAATCGTTACATCCCTAGTTGAAGCTAAACACAAGTCATAGTTAACCTGCATTCCTTGCCAAAATAAAAAAAGTTCAGCATGACTGGTCATCAGACACTAACCAGCGTACATTATTGTGTAACAGCATGCAAATTGGTTTTAGGGTAATATGGTTTTAGGCTAAGGACATGCCTTTGAATTCTTCAGGGTGTTCGGAGCCAATGGGCATGAAGTCTGGCCACATTCAGGACTACCAAATCACAGCCTCCAGCATCTTCAGAACTCTTAACATGGACATGTTCACCTGGGAACCTGGGAAAGCAAGACTGGATAAACAAGGGAAGGTCAATGCCTGGACGTCTGGACACAGTGACCAGTCCCAGTGGCTGCAGGTAGGGTTTATTATAAATGTCCTCATATGCTTAGGGACAATCTAATTTTATTATGTCTGTTATTGGCTCTGATTCAACAGAATTCTGCAGAATGCCTGTGAATGATTAAATGTAATGCTGAACTGTGTTGTAATGAAATGATCACTGCAGCACAGAGGTGTACATTAAACAGCATTCAGAGTTCAGATGATCCCTAACACAGAACCTCAACAAAGATCAAAGCTTTATTGTGATTCCTACCATTTAGCTCCTAGAATCAAAGTTTAAACGAAATCCCAGTTATCCCTTCTCCCTAGAGCCTCTCTTTTCAGCACGCTCACTCACTGTTCATTAAGGTAACCGATCACCTTACCTCTGGCTTCAGGCGAGAGCTATTTGCCATCATTCAATCCAAGCATCATATTTAACATATTTAACCATATTTCACTTTAAGCCTGGCTGTAAAATTACTGGCTCAAACTTTTTTTTTTTTTTTTTCATTTAAATTCACTACTATCAATTAATTTGGCTTATTATAAAACTATTTAATATAGTTTTAATATTTTAGAAGGAGTATTTTGTGGCCACCAAGACTGCATTAAAAAAAATAATTGTTTACAGTAATATTGTATTATTATTTTTATTATTATTATTTTATTTATATATACATTTGGAACATTATAAATGTCTTTTCTGTTACTTCTGTTACACATCCTTGCTGAATAAAAGTATTAATCTCCTTAAAAATTCTTACAGACCCCAGACCATTGAACAAGGCTTTTTTAGTAAAATGTAAATGTTAAAATTATTATGAAAAAGAAAACAAAATAGTGAAATGTACTGTACAAAAATTTCAAACCATTATTTGACTAAAAAATATTGTACTCAAGTTGTAAAAATGTATAACATTTGACATGTATGTGGCAAATTGCCCCAACACATTATGAATGTTAAAATGTTAACATTTACTAGCAGCATTATCTTTTTTTTTTTTTTGGTCCTGCATTAATATAAATGTTCTTGTTATCTTTGATAGACAGCTGTGTAATAGATAGGGCTGTGCCATTTTTCAGGGGGCATGCACTGTTGTTCATGAGATGCAGGGAATGTCATCACATCTGAATAATTTCTAGCTCACGATGTGTTAAAAGTGATTAATATCCTGAGATTACTGAATAAATGCTCCAGTGCAACCACAGAAATTGAGTGAATGTGAGACACAGTTGGGCGCATTTCAAACATCAGTTGCCATGGTGAACAGTGAGCTACTGCAGTGGTTGCCCCAATGGAATAATCAATAAATACCAGTGGCATACAATAATGACTTTAGTCAAGTCAAGTCACCTTTATTTATATAGTGATTTATATATATATATATATATATATATATATATAAACTTTAGGCTTAATAGATTAATGGAATTAATCAAGCTTAATGACAAATTAAGTATTCTAATTAATCAAGACAATTGCCATGCTGCAGAAGCAAGAATTACCTCACAAACTGCAGTAACGTCAGAGACATTTTGACCGAACGGAGCACATCTCATGGCTCTGCCAGTGATGTGCTCAATCACACTGCATCAAAATCATCAGGTTGTCAGTGTCTCAGTGGTTCAGTTGCTTTTAAGTGCACGATTCGATTGGGAGTCATTTATTTATGTCCATTGATTTTGGTGAAAACAAAGCTGCTGTTACTCGCAGCCCTTTATTTGGAACTTTTTTAATGATCTTGGTACTTTCAGTCTGTTAAACGTTTTGGTCTGTGTATGCTGACATGTTCAGTCAAGCAGACATTTAACATGCTGCATGCACACGTCAATATTGACTAAGACTCCAAGTGAAAAGTTCATTTGCCTACATTCATTAAGTTGGCTAAGGAACTGCATCAAATTGATGCAAACAAAGTCTTATATTGCCAGGCAGTTTGTTTTAGCGAATTAAAATACAGGCGGGAGTCAAACTGAGTCACAAATAACATTATCTTTTACATTTTTCGCAAAGTTTCCCTCCATTAACCAATCAAAAAACAAACCATGCTGCTTTTCCAGGGACTTCTAAGGTCAAACAAACCACTCACATTAAAATGCATATAAATCCCATTGACAGGTTTTGGAGCTGTTTGAATGAACCAATCACTCACCAGCCCTACAAACACACTGCAAGTCAGCTCTTTTTCCTCTGTTTGGACATACTCCACAGCAAGAAGGCCTTTTGAAGTTTCTGTTGATTGCTTCCAAACATGCTGTCGATCAAGAGACAGTGAGGAGATGCCCATCCTCCTTCTCTTACATCTGTCTAGCCTGCCTGGGTCTATCTCTGGCTTTTTTCCTCTCGAATTTTGAAAAATTGCCTTTTCAACTCGTTCCTCTCCCTCCTCTTTGTGTGTAATGAATCAGTTTAGTGTCCTCATTTGTGGTTTCCTGTGTCTTTGCCACTACTCAAACAGAGATGTGACCTCAGTCCCACAGAGATAACTTTTAGCCTTCATCAGGCAGGCATGAGAAAGACCTCTTACATTCATTATGGATGTTAAGTCTGCTCATTACGGACTATATGCATGGACAGTTTGAGAAACCTTAGCAGTGGTTTTCTTCAGTAAAGATGAGGACTAGAATTTATAGCAACTTTTATCTCAGTCAGCATTTCTCTAACCGGGGTCCATCTCAAATAGCCAGGGGGTCCGTGGAAAATTTCTGAATTGAGAACAAAAATCTTTCTGCAAATCCTTGACAAGCAATATGAGACGGTTCTCTTTTCCAGCAGCCTGGGTTCTGGAAGAATTTTCCCCATTCATATTCTCCATACAGACATTTCAGAACATTTTTCAATAAGTCTTGAACTAACCTATGGCTCCAAAATGAATCACTTTACAACATCTGATTTTAAGGCCAGACAAATTTGAACAGAATTTGAACAAGATAACAGTACAAGATTGTGTACGTATGATTGACCATTCATATAATCAAATCTGCAATGATGATACAGTAGAAAACTATTGATTAAAACATATTAATGTTTTTAGTTATTCAGTCATGGTAGGCCAGCTATCTGCATCTCAGGATTAGATTTAGGGCCAAATATCAGTGTGCATAGAGGAAACATTGTATACCCATTTAAACTGCGGTGTTTGTGGTTAACTCTTTATTTTTGACATTTGTAGTCAACTGAACTTTTGGCATTTTAAAGAGCTAATTCAAGTGTCTGGATCGCAGTGGTGGAGTGATGCTGTACAGTAAAGTATAACAAATCGCATTAGTATGCTGTATTCTTTACAACCACACACTCAAAACCGGTATGTTAGAAGGGAAATTTCCTAGCGCCGTTACCTGATTGACATAATTCCTTTAGGGATTTGGGTGTTAAAACAGCACAGTCTGTATGTGCAATAAACAGAGTAATCAGCGGGCATAATTCATTCTTAGTTAATTCCCTTCTAATTCTCTTAATCAGGGAATTTAATGTACCTCCACCTTGTTTGAGAATTGCAAACCTTATAGCTTTCCTATTTCCTTCCTGGCAACTGACCAAGCTTCACAGTAGCAGAGATGGGACTGAGATTAGAAGCTCTGTCCCTTTTGGAAAATGTTTGAAGATGAGTTGGTGAAATCTTTAGAAGAAAATGGTGAATATGCTTGGTTCCAGCTGGCAGAGGCTTATTAGTTAATTATACACATTAACAGGCTAAACGCATAACACAGAGAGCCTGCCAGAGTGCACTTGGCTCTTTTTAGAACTTTCTTATTACAGAATCATTGCAGCAATGCAAGCATATGCTAAATGTTATGCTGACCCTGCTAGCGCAGAAAAAGCTACTATAAAAACCACAGAAGAAACCACACACAAGAACCATGTTAGCTCTTTTTTTTTATTAAAATTACCTTAGAAACCTATTAATTTATTTGTTTTCTTGCAAATTATAAGTATTACATATACCTCTATGTTAGACATGTTCGAAATTAGTGCTGGGCGGTATACCGGTTCATACCGAATACCGGTGTTTATTTTTGTTATGATATGAATTTTTAAAATACCGCAATGCCGGTGTATGTCGCTTAAACAACGTTCGGAACGTGACACTGTTTGAAAGGGGTCCCTTTTCACTGTTGCACTGTGGTGAGGGGACGCATGCAGTTCTGTTCATTAACCGCTAGAGCGCCAAAAGATACGGACTGCAGCTTTAAAAATTTAACAGTAATAGTGCCCAATGAAATGTTGTTGTTTTTTTTCTATAAATTGCATTTAAATTTTTTAAATGGTTTCATTTTTTTTTTTTTTTTTGTCAAAAACTGTGGTAATCAGTTGAATTCATAAATGCGTAATGCGTGCTTCAGTATGTATATTAGACAGAGACAAGCAGAACATGCACACTTCATATTTAAATGACAGTCTTTTGCTGTTTAATATTCACAGATTTGAGTCCATATCGTGATTTCAACTGTACAGCCCTACTTTTGATTTATTAATCCAAACTTTGCTGTGACATTCTGCGTTATACAGTAAATTCCATTATATATTATAGATTCTGTATTCATTTTCTGCATTGCAGAAATCATAGGGCCCTATGCACTGTATACTGCTTGCGATTATTTCAATAATACAGTCAGTAGTATGCTAGAAACTGCACACTGCACAAAAACAGTGGAGTAGTATGCTGTTCTGCACATGGTCTGAGTGCCTGTTTCTTTACATCATTTATTTAGCTTACAGCAATATTTATTTATTTATTTATTTTACTTTATTTTAATAGTGTTGGTAACTTCTCTTGAGCGTGAGCATGTGTGTGTGTTTTAACTTGGTTAGAGTGTTCCTGTGTGTTTGTGGGACACACTGATCATTCGATTCACCCTCTGTTTATGTGTGTGCCGTTTCCCACACAAGAATCCCAGGAAAAGCCTGTAGCTCCCCCAGCTGTCAATGGGAGGAAAGGCAAGTGTGTGTGAGCGTGTGAATCTCTCTGTGATGTTTTACTGCGTGTTTGTGCTGGATAGATTTAGTACAAGTAGATGTTGTATACATTT